GTGGTAAGCGAGGCCATTTGCCTCTACAGCACCCTGCACCCATGTGAATTATACCCGGTAATATTCAGTGGAAATAATTCAATAGAATTCCATTATGACGTTTCAACTGAACGCATACAAATATTGTTATGCAACGCTGATTACGTTACTCTTTGTTGAGTATTTGATTCCACCCACCCACTCTACTCCACAACTCATTTGGAAGGGATCAGCGTGCACATTGCCTCACGTTTGCCCTGACCTCTGGGAAAAGATTTTTCCCATCTGGGTGCTGCCTCGAATCGGCTTCCGCCTGGGCCAATCAGGTCTTCTAGTCAGGGCACTTGGTGAAGGTAGGGTGAATTCATCGTTAAATATGCCTCCTCCACAAATTTTCTGCTTTGGTACAACCCCCTCCACAACCGACCGATTCACTTATCACTCCCAAAAAAGGGTATACGAGAAGACAATCATAATCCGCCACGCTTATGGGCGTCGCGTGCGACGTCGCGCCTGCAAATGACGGTGTTTCTAGATCGTAGGTGGCGACAATAGACAATATAGCCAGAAATACCCATCAATCTCTATGACGTCGTATTCTGCATGAAGTTCCATGCTCCAATCGACAGGCTAATGCGAACTGAGAAAACGCCGCGCCCACCGCCGCGCGCGACGGAGCGGCAAACAATGAGTCCTGACTGCCTCCCCGAAAACTGGCGGCGAACTCGAGGCGGAGGAGCTTGACATCTACTGAACAACCCGGCTATCGGAAGTGGTAGCTTTGCTGCGGGACAGACTAAGGCGAGGAGGTCTTCCGTGAAATCGGATAGTTTTGGTGCGAATGCCGCGCACGTGACTCCGTTTGCAATGTCTCGTCGCCACAACGTGAAATCTAAGGGACACCTATACGAAGGCTCGAGCTAAGTGACCATGCTATTTTTCATGGCTCCGGATGGTCATTTTAGCTTTTCTTGGCCAGCTAAGATCACCAAGATTGGTGGTTGAGCCAGCAGACTTTTTTGGGTTTTTTTTTTCAAACTGGCTGCATTCGAATGAGCCAACTGGGGGGGGGGGACCCGTTCAAGTGCAATATGCTTGTGTTATGGACTTTCTCTGAAAGAGGCTTGCCCGCTATGTTTTCTTTGCAGTCGTCAATCATAGCAAGATGGCTGTGGCCAGGATAGGGTTCTCGAATCGATGAGTGCATAACTTTTTTCCACGAGTGACTTCGGCCACTGGGCCTAACTCACAGATTTCGACTGAGTAAACGACCAGTGATGTCGAAACGAGACCTAATGGCTTCACCTAGATATTAACCCAAGCATGGGAGGGAGGGATATATGGGGACTCCGGCGCAGTTCGGCTTTGTGGGGGCATTTTGCTGGCTCTCATCGAGCACTGCCGATGCTTCTTGCAGACGTGTAAATTTCTGTCAAGCTGTACATTAGCAGGTACTTCGTTTACACTTCCAAGACTGCAGGTCTAACGAGAGGTGAAGTGTAATTTAACAGGAGTTGGCGAAAGTTCAAAATGCCCCTCTCAGGCCGAACAGCGCCGAGTATTCCAGCTGGTGCCCCGTGACGGGAGCAAGTTTCACCAAAGGTAAACCTTGAACCCTGTCTGGCTATCGTAGCAGGCTACATTTTGTTGTAGCGACATAGTTTCGAAACAGCTACAAACCTATGAATACGTATGTAGCGTATGATATGAATGTGATGTGTGTGATTATTGACAACCCGACGATCAATTTGCTCGGCACAACTGTCGCCATCGCCGTCGGCGGCGGTGATGGCGGCAGCCGCAGCCGGTGAAAGAACGAGCAACGCGAGCCGCCCAAGCGTAGTAGATAAGTGGAATCTGACGCGAGAAGCATGCGACAGAGGAAAGTCACAGTTAGCCTAACGGAAACCTAGAATTATCCCTTCGATACGCGCCAATGGCGAGAAAATTTCTCACTGAAGGGCAGCCACGGCACAACAGCGCGGGTAACTGGCACAATCCCTCGAGCAATGGGACTGTCTAATCCGCTCATGTCCGAAGATATAAGGGTGATTTGGAAATCCTGGAGCTATGGAGTAAAAACGAGTAGCACGGTTCAGTCATCAATGGGACAAACCGATCTCGGCGCTGCTCGGCTTGGAAGGGCCTTTTAGTACTTTCGTTTGTCCCTTCTGTGAGTTCCTGTTGAACTACTCGTCTCACCTTGGTAAGACCTGTAAATTCTTGTCAAGTTTGAACAAGTTCTCGCTATTGTACACCCTCACAGGGTTTGCAGGTTCCTCTAATAGACGTCAGTTATCGAAAGGACAAGGAAAATGCAACCGCCAGCGCCGAACTGGCTCTGACCTTCAGTATGACTGAATAGTCCTCGCTTAAAGCTTACCATTCTTACTCGCTAATTAGTACCCATGGTGAGCTCCTCAGATTGCTACGGTCCCCAATGAGATTTCCACGGCTCCAATGTAAAAAAACCTTCTACATGTCCTCCTCGTTCAGCCGCTGCCTTAAATATGACCCCTCTCAACCCCGCAATCCGCCCTCATTTACTTTTTTACCTCCGATTGCAATCAACCCAAAAACCGGCACAATTCGGCTTGGTGTGGGCCACAGTTGGTACTCAGTGAAGCTTGCACAGGCCTCCTTGTGAGGACCTGTGAATTCTTGTGAAGAACTGGCTTACTTGAACCGTTTTGTAGCTTCACAAGATTCTACAGGTCTCGCTAAAGTGCTAAATACCCCTCCCAAGCCGAACAACGCCCAGAAACCTATCCTTTTTCAGTTATTCCTCCAAGGTCCTGGATATCATTTCCCAGCTAAGACTCATCCTGGCAAAATTCCGTTCGAGTAATTGTTGGCAAATATTGATGCATACTGTTTTATAATACTAATTAATGTTATTTTTTATATGACATTATTCCAATTACTGCGAAAAACGATCAATATTGTTTTGTAGATATGCGTCAACTGATATGGACAAAGTGTTGCTCAAATATACTGAATACAACGAACCACATGAAAGTCGTACAAATTCGGACATAATGGAGGTAAGCCATGAGGTTATAATAATTCATTGACTATTGGAAGCTTCTTCATAGGAATTTTGACGCAGGCACTTTTTGAGCCAGCACCACCCTATCAACCCTTCCAGTCAAGAGCCATGTAGTGTACCACCCGTCCCTACACATAGGATAGCAATTTCCTATGGATTAGTGGTTTTTATCAGCCTATCCTGCGAACTTTTGAGGGGGGCAAGACGTAGAACATGCCATTTTGTACATGGTTATTTTTTATTATTGATTAAATATTATAGAAGAATACATTATGATGATTTTCCGCTTTTAAATTCACTTGTCAAAAAAAGAATAATGTATTCTTCCTTCAGCATAGAATTTGCTCTTGAAAACGATTTGGCTCATATAATGGGGGGGGGGGAGCATATTGGTCGACGAGTCAGTTTCTGGCCTGTGGAAATTCTTTCGAGCTCTGAAAACTTTTCCGGTTGTCGATTTTTCCCGATCCCCCCCCCCGGTGGAGGCGATTTGGGTTATCGTACTGACGTGCTGCACTGCAGTTCTCGCATCGCTTCTGAACTTGGAAAAGAGGCTTGGCAGATCTGGGCGGGTTTAAGTCCGAGACCCGATCTCCAAGCCAGGCGGTATAGCTGTTCACTGCGGATGCTAAGGAGTGTTAGGGAGGAGGGGCAGGTTCGGTGCGGCGCCAACCCCTTTCTTCATCAGATGTGGGCGAAACCAAGCGAGAACAGTTGCTGGAAAACAGGCTAGCGCCGTACCAAACCATGCCCCCTTGACACGCCCCCGCATCCGCGCCGAACAACACTGTAAGCGCTGTCGCTTCTCACTACACCCCACCCGCGTTCAATTTAATATATTTTTCTACTACTCCTACTACTACTACTACTTACTGCATAAAACACTGTCATGCTCTGAATAGGGATGGCACAGTGGCAAGTGAAGCCGCTCACCAAGTGCTCCCAGTTCGAGGAATATGTCTTGGATCGACTCCCTGAAGCTAAACGAGCCCTTCATCCCCTCAGGTCGTTTAGTTATGTAGTTGTACAGTTGTACAGTCTCCGCTGAAAATGGAAATTCTTTGCCTTGACTAATAAATTCAAGGGGAGTTCTGGGAGTTTGCAATAATCGACCCTTGTAATCACCACTGCAGGAATACCGGCATGGGTCCTTGAGTTTTCGATCTTTCCGATCAGAAGATCGAAACCACTGATAGTCTTCCCATATCGATAAATTCTACATTACTCAGGTGCATCTCGTTCAGGGCGGATGAAGGGGTGTTTGTGTCAGGCAGGATGGGTTTGGCGCGGCGCGAAACCCCGTTGTTAAGCGAGCAAACGACCGGACGGTATCAGACCCTTCGTATAAGTTATTTTTCACCAGTTGTTGTCGCTTACCCGCTTGTAGAATCGATTTGGCGGCGCGCCAAACCCATCCTGCCTAATACGCCCCTCATCGGCAGCGAAAATGATGACCGTATTTTTAGCCTGTTTTCTTTTGTATTCAACAAGTTAACGGTTCTGTCCGTTTCAGGCTCTCCAACGAAAGGAGTCCAAGCATGGCGGTGGTGGCGATTCAGATGACGATAGTCCTGGTCCATCTACACCGATGAACGGTCACGCATCAGTCAACGTCAACGATCAACAACCACCTACAGTTGCACCTCAACCGCCAGCTGCTGCCATTCATCCGCTCTACACCAATCTCTTCCTTCATCCCCAGTACCGTCCTCGCCCTGAACCCACCAAACAACACATCGATTTCCCCACTACTAGTTCATTTCCGTACGAATCCACAAATGCACCGTCACTACAGCAACATCCTTTAGCTGCTGCAGATGCTGATTGTGAACTGGTAGCGCCACGGTCCACAGCTGATCAGCCATTGTGGGCCGCTGCGCTACAGCATAAACCGCCACAACAGCAACAGCAGCAGCAACAACAGCAGCAACAGCAACAACAACAGCAATCCCCGTATGTGAAGTTAGAACCGCATAGTCCACCGGAAAAACGGCAACGTTTAGCCACTGCTGCATCCGATTGGCGACCACAGCAGCTGACATGAATTTCATCGGCTTTTAGCGGGTGGGTTTCGGATTTTGAGCCGTTCTAAATCGTGTGCATACCCCGGCGTATTGAACACCCCCAAAGTCGATCTAACCCTTCAGCCCATCGCTTCGTTTTTCATCTCCTTTCTCGTTTTTTTTTGTTCGTCTTTGCTGTATCTTTCTTATTCTCTGGGCGTGTCATTATCATCATCAAATCTCCCATTCTCATCCGTTCATCCCTGACTTAAAGACACACTCTAGGTTATTTGGTCGCGTTGTGGGCAGGTTCACTGTTTCAGAAGTGTGGCATCCTTGCCATTTTAAACTGCGTAGCAATAATGCTTGAAGCTTGTTGGCCTGGTTTCTTATATCTCCGCTCATCGCTCAATACGCAACACGTACACCGCAACCACGCCATACGGTCAATTACATCTGAAAAACGGATGTATGACCAAACCCACATAGTCCGTCATGGAGCCTTAATTCTGCCTGAATTGGTACGAGTGTCGCTCCTCCAACGGACTAAGTGACACACTTCGAGATTTATCCGCGCAATACGCCACATGTTACGACCTGACAGTTACGATTGTCTTGTCTGTCTTCTCAGTAAAAGCGCAGACAAGTAGAGCGTCTGGCTATGGTTTGGCCCTGTGGCGTGGTTGTGATGTGCGTATGGCGTATTGGGGATGGGCAGAGAAATACAAGAAATGCTGCTTTCACAAGCTTCTAACTTCATTATAACATACTTTCAAAGGAATGTTGCAATTCTCCTGCGAACCTGCCCTTTTCGCACGGGAAAATCATCCCTAGATGTGTCCTAGAACCTGTAAACGCGCTCTTTCCGCCCTTCCTACCCCCACCTCACCCTTTCCAAGCCCCGGTCTCCCCTTCCCGTGTCCCCACACACAACACATCCCGGTCTATGAAATCGATTCTATTCCGTCTAGTAGGTTTACATTTGTTTGTAATCTGTTTTGAGAAAGAGAGAGAGAGATAGAAATATCCCTCCTCTTTTCATGTATAATTACGATGCTCCGTGTCCAGTATATTATGTGCGAGTGTGGAAAAATTATAAGATTATTAATATAAAGTTTATGAAAATTATTCACACTTCATTGTATTTGCATACATGACAAAAAACATGAAAATTATTCACACTTCATGTATTTGCATACATGACAAAAAACAAAGAATGAACAGAAAGTGGGAGAAAATTATGGACAAGGAGACACATCTATGGTAACTAAACCAACACATAATCGAACTTTTTACTCACTCATTCATTACTCCTTATCTGTGCTCTACCAATCAATAAACTGATTCAAAATGAAAAAGGAACATACACGTGTCAATCAATAATCGGTGAAGAGCAGGAAAAAAATAGCAGGAAAATTATACAGATCTCACTCATCACATTCACCCATGCACACATACAAAGTTCGACCATTTTTTTACGGTCAGACGCTAGCGAAGGAGGTAACACTTTGATTTGTATGAGGTGTAGTCGCACGCACGCACGCACGCACGCGCATCGCCCCCAAAAATCGATTGGATCAATCAATAACGATAAAAATACCTCGCGCAAATATCTAGCTAGTCAGAAATGTTTTTTAGGTGACTTACACAGCTATTCCAGTAGCAGCAGTTCTTATTTGGCACATCGACCACTGAAAATGCTAGGCGCTACGCCAATTTTGAGAGAAGGGACAAGCTATATTGATTGCCGCGTTAAAACTGGCGCCAAATTTTGGATTCACTTATACCTGCCAGGGCGGATAATTAGCTGCAACTGGGATACCTTTATTAAAACTCAGAATTTCTGTCCTAGCAAATATGAACTAAACACAGTAAAAGTACTCAAATAATGAGTATCAAGGTGAAAGAGCTCTAACGGTACGTTGGGGGCGATCACTCGCTAGCGCCTCCATATCCTTTTTAATTAATAAAGCCTTAGCTTAGTGGAGACTAGGATCTATCGGTGACTATGGCCGTCTGCGTTCTAAGCTTGAGCCTTTTTTTGGGTGGAGAAGGAATACAGAGGCGTGACCGAATACCCTCCCCCCCCCAAACTACGTTAGCGCCGGTGGAAGCGTGCATATCATCGGAAGCTCAAAACACCATTTCAACCGGCTACATTCAGTACGACTGACATACAGACAGACAGTAACATCGAAATAAACTGCCCGAATTCACTGGGTCAACGGAGCGTTACCACCGCTACCGTTGGTGAATTGGTTCTGTTGAACAAGGGAGGCCAGCACCTGTTGCAGGTTCGAACCAGCAGGGAACGTTGGCTGCTGTTGTGGAGGCGGTGGTGGTGCGGTGGCTGTGGCATAGTTGAAAGATAAACCCGTAGGATTGTTCGTCGCCTGATAACGTCCAATCAGACTCCCCAGCGACTGCTTGTACGCCGCCGTGAGCGACTGCTTGTACGCCGCCGTGAACGATGCGCCAGCGTTCAGCGTGCCCGTCGGCGGTGGCGGGTATTGCGGTCGTGAAGCTGCCGGTTGACTCCATTGCGACTGGTGATAGTACGACAGTGCACCGCTGTTGTTGTAGATACTCTGCTGAAATAAAGAGAGTTAAAAATGCTAACCAAGTGTTGTTTTCATTATTAATTGTAAAACTGTTAACCAAAGCTATAAGTTTATGCATGGATGGAGTCAAGCCTTACAGTTGTGCCGCCCCACCAATAAGGAAGGCTCATTACTAGGCATGGCCACGCCCATACGATCAGCGTGAAATGTGTTTAGGTAAAGTAAGGTAGTCCGAGTGCTTGCGGAATTCCACTTCAGGAATTGAAGTGGAAATGGGCAAAACTGAAGATTCTAACCACATTCAAAACACGCGATCGCGATCGTTGCAAGCGGATGGTTGTTGCCAACGTCACTGATGGAAGGACTGCAAGCCACATCCGCACTTATCCCTTCCACCAATGTCGCTGGCGACAACCGCTCGCCCCAGTAATCGTGCCCACTACCTTAATACAACCCCAATCAATTACTTGAGGTTCCCCACTTTACGGAACTCAAAGCAGGACGGACAGCAAGATACTAAAGATCTGTCAGGAACAAAAGCAACGATATAAAGCAATGATCATAAAACTAAGCAACGCGATGAGATTTCAAAAATCTATGGACCATGGTCGTGAGGAGACCCACCCAAAGTGGGCGGAGCTTTCCCCCATCAAGTCACTCTCTCTTGTCTTTCTATTTCCTGCAAGCACCTACATACAAATGAGGATTCCAAGTAAGGCACGCCATAGCGCTGGGGAAAATTCTTCGCAATACTAACCCTCACTCCGCTTCAAATCCTTGGGCGAGCGGAAGGAAGAGCCGAAGGAGGGGAGGGGAGGGGAGGGGAGGGGAAAACAGGCATCCTACCAGCTATAAAATAGCGAAATTTTGACGCCGGCAGCCGAACCCCCTCTCCCAGTCCTTCCACCAGTGACACTAGCAACAACCGCCCCTTGGCAATCGTTTCCAATGCCTCTAAACTGGAAAAATACAATTCCTTCGAATATTCAGCTACCGAGCAAGCCCAGCAAACATAGATCTTATTGCTACTATCTATCATTATTTCCACTCATTTTTTTGAAATTATCAAAAGAAAATCTCATCAGGAGAACCAGTAAGAAACTTACATGACCAGCAAGTACACTATGCGTTTGAATTGTTGGCACTCGACCTGGCATCACCCCATTGCCACCATTAGCCATCGTCATCGTGGAGGTTGGAGCAGAAAAGGCGCACGTGGGGGACGATGACGATAACACTGTTATTGGCGACGACGAATTGTTACATGTCTGAAGACGAACATTGAAGCTCATCTCTCGCTAAACATATTTCATTCCACTCGTTCATAAAAAATAGTTGTGAAGGTAAAGACTTCAATGAAAAGAATCTTAACCAATATGAATCTAACACTTCACTTCACTTCGCCGTGAAGCCCTCATTGATGGTATCACTAGCAGGTTACTGTTAGCGCAGTAATGCTTCAAAGGCAAGAGGCACGACACTGGAGGGGGGGGGGGGGGGTTGCTGCCAATATCACTGGTGATGGAGGGCTGCGGAAAGTTTGAGCGCACCGCACTCCGGCCCTTCACCAGTAACGTTGGTAGCAACCGCCCGCACCTAGCCATCGTGCCCATGCCTTCTGCTTCCATTGAAATCGCTCTACTTTACAGACGACCGCGCTCGATTTCATGGAAGAAAACTAGTTATAAGACGCTGTCAACCTGAAAATATTTGGCAATTTCCCACGGTCTGCAACACGTTCTCCTCACAGAATTTTTGCTAATGGATGGATATTTTGTCGAAACCGTCCACTCCAAGTCTGGAAGCGAGGGTTGTGCAAGGGGAATGGTCGGCATCGTCCTCGGACCATCTGAAGCAGCGTGCAGACTTTGCGACGGCAGCGCTTTGGTCGCGCGTTCAACGCGATCGATGCAGTCGAAGCAGTCGGCTCGCCACCGAAGCACTGCCGTCGCGAAGTCTGAACGCTTCTTAAACAGTCCAAACAAGTAATAGAAGTAAGTGCACAAAGAACGCGGACGATGCTAACCATTTCGCCCACCCATGCGCCAATCCCCACATCGAAAGTGTTCCGGTACAAGGGCGGGATATGAATAGTCTGTGATTGGTTGGTAAAGGTAGTCCACCAATCAGGAACACGCTGGGCACACGCTGCTCCATTGAAAACCAAGATCCGCGCCAGTTCCATGGTTGCGGGCATCCAACTAATGTGTCTTCCTCATGGGCACATCCAGCCTTTTTCCGTGCTGGGAGGTAGGCGGTCGAAGGCACAAGTGTTGGGCGTCTCCGCCCACACGACCAGCGCGTACTGTGCGTTCAAGGCTAACTACAGTCAACTGTGTTGCTAATCATTCCAATGTTTTGGTACAGCGTTAAACACGCCGTTTTCAGGAATGCCTGTAGGTGTGCTGACAGAACAATTTACGGTATTAATTTTTAGTTTTCCAGTTTCTTCTCGGTAGTTTTTCATTTCTAAGGCTAGTAATGGGTCAGGAAAACAAGAACAAGTTAGTATTTTTATTGGAAACATCACTATTTCCACCAAATATCTAGTTCTTTACTCTTTGGTTAAAAAGACGAGTTTTCAATTTTCCATTTCTCAGGCACATTTCATCTCTTACCTGCAAGTGCCGAGTTTCACCTTGACTTTTGGATATTTGAAAAAAAATGACCACGGAAAAGCACTTACGTTAGATGGCGGAGGAGCAGATGGTCGTGGTGGGCTGTCATCGTCCAGAATAATGATGGAACTGTCACGAGAACGAGGCGTTGGTGACAATGGTGGATTGGACGTGGAGTGTACCGTATTACTATCAACTATCGACGCACGAATAGCTCTTTCAACTGCTTGTTGTTCATCATCATCCGAATCAGAAAGCACTACAAACAAAATATAGATATTGATCGTGCCACAAAAACTTGATCGCAATCGAACTTGAACCAACCAATAATGTCGTCATCGTTGACAGCCTTTGCCTTTGATGAAGCAGTACCCGTTCCAGAACCACTCGCAGCTACACTGGCAGATGGTTTTTCGTCGATTGTTGACGCATCGTCCGAGTCCACGTCAACGCACTCGGTTTTCACTGTTCTATAGGAGCCGTCCACCAATAACTCCACTTCCACAGCTCCAGTATCGACGTTTGAGAGGATGTTTTGGAAATAGCTGAAAAAAGGCAGAATAAGGTGAAATCAGCACAGTCCACCCTATGACCCAAAGGGCGGCTATAGTGGCAGTCGCGTCTGAAACCACCAATAAGTCAATCCACAAAAAGGATCACAACCGATTTCAGTTCGGTTCGCTGCGGATGAAGGAACGTGCCTGGCAGAATAGGTTTGGCCCGGCGCCAAACTCTTCTCTACCAGTTGTTGAAGCCAGTAAGCCAAACAGTTAGTGGGAACGCTTAATGAAAAAGACGATGCGGTTTTTCGCTTGCTCGCTTCGATAAATGGGATGGAAAACGGATTTGGCGCCGCGCCAACATCCCGCCAGACACACCCCTTCATCTACGCGAACAGGACTGCACCCCGACCCGGCTCAAGCAGAGAATCGGTGATTTAACCATGAGAACTCACAAAAAACACTAGGCACAAATCAATTCAACTGATTCTTCTGATCGATGTGTATCAAGCTCGTTTTGCGGACTCCTCAATGTCAAGCTGGGCGGGGTTAACGAAATCGATTCGTATCTCATCCGTTTTTCCAATCCTCTCAAAACGTCAAGTATGAACCGGTAAGGTAACGTAGGCGTCAGCTGCCCTCCCCTCCAATAATTCCTCCGCACGGCTAAAGTCTTGTTCGCAGCGGATCGAAGGAAAGCTTTCCGACGGAATAGGTTCCGCGCGGCGCCATACTCGTGCTCTACCAGCTGTTGAAGCCAGAAAGCGACAAAAATTGGTGGAAAACGATTGATACGAATCCTGCTACAACTTGTTCCGCTTGCTCAGCTTTAATACCACGGTGTAAAAGGGTGTGGGCACACATTCCGGTTTGAAGACGCCCGTTCATTTGCAGCGAACAAGTCTGTGGTTATTCTCAGCGCGACGTTCAAGTCAAGATCAAATCAAGTGAAACATTGATTCCGGAACGCGCCAAGGATTGAGGCCCAACCAGCTCTGGAAAAAATATTGCTGTTGTAGAGTCTAGGATATTTATGTTCCGTTTGACCTAGTGCCATGTATTACTTGTACGCACGCTGTTCGACAGATAGGTCAGCTACGAAAGCTGTACACTATTCACGGCCTGTTATATGACCCCTGGGACTGTACGCGGAAGCAGGAACTGGTGGACCAAAAGTCTTAGCTTCCATATCCCAAATTCCACCATTACGCTGAGCGCTCACAGTTTCAGAAAGCAGTTGTTATGCGAAGAGAGGAACACCATGGCATACAGCTATGAAATCGGAGCCCTCCCCGAGTTTCCAGCCATTCCTTTTTTTCAAGGAAGCGCTGTGACTGCCAATTCCGAACCTTCACACAATCTAATCACGAGAACATTTCGTCTTTCACCTTGGGAAATAAATGACCAGTAAACTCTCGAAAGAAGAATGACATCAGTCATCTCGAGATTTCGTCGGTGGTTTTGCTATCAACAGCCGTCCTTTTCGGAATACTGCAAGGAACTCGAATACCAATCAATCTCTACGGTGCTGCTCCCATAGCAACGCACATCCAAAGCATATGCATGTTAGAAATTGCTACTCTGGCAATATAGAACGAATGCAGTCGAGGCACAAAGCGACTGCTCGTCCAAAAATTCTACCGCTGCGTCCTGCCGAGCGCCTACGCAGTCGCAGGTGTGGAAAACAATGGCGCCAAGGGACGCACGCTGCCGGGACCCAGTCCATCAAACAGGTTCAGTCAACTAGCTAGGATATGCTGATTCGCGTCCGATGCTGCGCCTCTAAAACGATAAACTAAAGGACCACCACTACTGCTACAGGCCGCCTCATCAACAATTTCTAGAGCGGTCCTACAACAGCACATTATCCTAAAAATACTGCATAAACACGTAGTCGCCTCTGCAAATGGAGTGACAATTTGTCAATACTCTGTCCCACTTCACGTCATTAGCGCTGCAAAAAAGAGTTCATGCAAAACTCC